TTAGAAATGAAAGTTTAAGCTATACATGAAATTCTTAGAAAACAATGAATTGAAAATAATGGTAAAAATAGAGATAATCATTCTTCGATGTCTTATAGCTGATCCAATACATGCAAATCCTCACAATATTATATAACTTTAATGTATTATAAATACAGTACAGGTATTGCCAAAAATGCTAATTATAAGTATCGTTTAGATGCCGTTTTCACTTCCCAATCACATCACTCATTGGCAACACGACGACCTGTTATCGGCTATTATAGCACATGGAATGAACATTCCTGCCGGCGATGCGGGTGTTCTACTCGACGACAGACCCCTGAAAAATGGTCAGTCTCTGGACTTTCTGTTCCCACCAAATGTTGTAAACGACACACCATATGAGAGGACGGGTTATCAGCGCCGAGACATTCCACTTCTGAACAGAGATCTATACCGATGTGATTACGTCGGGTAAATATGTCATCGATATATGAATTTCGTGCATTAAATTTAAGATTCATTTAATATGTTTTGTTGTTTTTATTGATTTACTTCATGATAAAAGACAACTAAAATATACAGAATATACAGTTATTCACAAAATTATAGCGAATTCAGTATTCCTTACGGTTATTATAGTGTCTCCACTCCTGACTACTGACACATCAATTTATTTCCTATTTATTCCTAACTCTTATACTTCTCATTATTTCTGCTGTTTTGAGACGACCTGTACTTTATGTCAAGACATGTATAATAAATCCCATTCAACACAAATGTTTTGACCGAAAAAGTCAATTAACTTCAAAACGACAAATATATTAAAGATTTATTTTTATAAGTTTAGTGATTGCTTTTATAATATTAATACCAAGGTGATATTCCATACTTGATAGCATAAAAAATATAGCCCAAGAATATTGTATTAAAATTTTGGTCAATGAGTTTAAGCCCCGGACTTATACACACTCTGTCATCAAAATATATGGTCGATATGTATAATACTCTACGATATGAATGCAATACAACACTTGCCGTTATTTTTATCTCAAATATATATAAAGAATATATTATTCTTAAGATTAATATCAAAATAACACAATAATTCAGGCATTCGTTCAATAAATTGTTTGATATATAAAAATATCAAATTTTTTGTCGTAAGAGACGGACAAAGAATGAATATATAAAGAATATATTATTCTTAAGATTAATATCAAAATAACACAATAATTCAGGCATTCGTTCAATAAATTGTTTGATATATAAAAATATCAAATTTTTTGTCGTAAGAAACGGACAAAGAATGGAGAAAAAGATATGTTTGTATTCAACAGTAAAACAGTCTGTTTTTCGCACAATTCTTATCGACAGCTAAAATGCAAAAACTTATTCATAGAATATATTTATCGTTTGATTTTACAAAAGCAATGCTTTTTTGAAGAGTTGTTTCGACTCAACAAAAAGCTAATAAAAACGTCAACACATCTGAAGGTTGGACTCAAAATGATAACACTTTTTATGACAACATTTTCTGAATTAATTCAATGAAAAGAAGTTATTAGGAGAAGAATTTGAGCCAATCTTTTGAGTTAAGAATCAGTAATACAAACAAAAAATTGATTTTATTTTCTCTACTTTTTAAATAAATTTTTTACAAAAACGGCAATCAATTCATATAATCAAAAACATAATGTATTTCTTAAATATGCTTAAAAAGTGTGTCATATTGTTTACGATATAGTGATATAAGTTATAACAAATATATTTACATTGATGTTATACCGGAATATAACTGATTATTATGTATTAATTTGTATGAATGCAGAAAGCTGGATAAGCTCATCCATCGGTGCGATGTCTTAAGCGCCGACTTTAACGCTCGTCCGGACGGCTGGACGCGTGGTTTTTGCGACGCTGTAGTGAAAGCCGCGAATCACAACAACTTTGATGTTGAGCGCAAAGTTGCGGACAAATGTCGGGACGCGTGGGTGAAGTTCATATTCAACATTCATCGCAGAGACCAAATCACTAAACGTATGTAATTTTATAATCTAATTAAAGTACAGTATTTGCACACATATGTGTATTACACTTGTGTAGTACAGCCAAGTCATGTACTGAATTTGGAAAACAATAGTGTATTATATCAGTTGTATTAACTCATAAGGAATGGTGTAATACCTGAACCACAATATTCTAGTTATATATTCTCTATTATATCTAATATTAATTATTAACTTATATTAATTTTATGTATTATTTTTATATCAGAGACACAACACGAGCAGAACATGCAGATTGAGTGCGAGAGACAACGAGCGCTAGTCGTCTTGAAAATGGAAACGCTTAAAAAATAATTGTAAAACTTTTTTATTGTTCATTTTATGTAAGCATTCAATTAATTAAATACACGATTAATGGTTTGGTTTTCTTACCTCTTCTCTCAATTCATCCATTATTTTCAATGAATCTGAATGTAAACACAATTGTTATCCATATTATATATAATCGATACGATATTATATCCTCATTATTACCGATACTGACATACATATGATTTTTTTTATCTATTACGGTAAATGTTTTATATCTCCAGTGAATCTGTTCTCTCAATAACACCACATCATAAACATGTAGTAATAATATTCAGTATTATTATTATTATTATAAATGAATAACTTCTCAAAATTCTTATATAATTGAAACTTAAATTAAATTTCTTTTTTATTTAAATATAGTCAACAAATGTAGAGTTGATGTGAAATAAGTCTAATAAAATATTTTAATAATAATCGACTAAAATATTGTTTTACAAAACTATATAAATTTCATATATAAATATCGAAATGACAATCACTTGATAACAAATGTGAACGAAATTATAAAATAAGTTAAATATTTTAAATTCATATCACAAACGCTCTCATTGTTGGCGTTAATGCCATTCACACGGACTCGAGTGGAAGTGCTCTCCAAATGACAATTGTGTCCATCGATTGACACCGACTGACCATTTGATGAGCCGCTCATATCTGAGACTAAGTAATAGTGATCCTTTGAAACATCAAAATCTCGCCTAAATTTCTCATTTTTGTTCAGTTCTTCCAATTCGAGGATCTTTTTGGGAAATTTCTCCAAAACCAAAGTCTCTGCACTTTTTTCAATTTACTTTTGAAAGGATTCATGTCTTCCACTCCTGTCTTCATCTCTTGTCCTCTAAAACGCTAATTAAATAACATTTCGAAAACTTTCGAAACAATTGAAAACTTTATTTTCGAAAAATGCAAACATTTTTCTCATAAAAGGTTTAAATGTTGTCTATATTGAGAGCAATTTGAACGTCATTTGTGAACACTCTTTGAGACAGAGATTTGTGTGTTGTGTAGGAAAGGGCTGTCCATAGGATTGCCATTGAATTGAATGACTGAACGCTATTTGCAGTGAAAACTCGAACCGATGTAAATGTAAACACATTTAACACACAGTTTCACAGTTGTGTTCACTTGTGTTCACTCCTTATATCTGTTCACTAATTGTTTGTTAAGTTATTGTTGTTTTTCACAATTAATAATCACTTCATTATTACAACAAACCATTCAATCGTTTATTGCATTCATTATTCAATACATTATATAAACTGGGATTTAATCACTGATTATAGCATTGGTTTGACTTCAAAAGCAAAGGTTTGTGTCTATTGTTTGAGACATTAATTTATGGTTTGAATGAAATTATCAAATGTTTGTTTAATTATAGTTTTAATTACTTTTAGTTTTGTTTTATAAGAAATATTCAAAAGTTTTTTATATAAAATGTGTTTTATTTTTATCTAATCTTAAAGTTTATGTTTAAAATATTTACAAATTATATTTCCTGTCATTTGTCTAAACATTAAATTCAATGATTTTGTACTTAAATTGCAATTCAATTGGGATTTGAATTGAATTTTTATATTTATTAAAACAATTGATATAATTATTACTTGAATTGACACAAAATATACTTTCATTAATACGTGAATTAAAACCAATAATTCATTTAAAAGTCAATTCAAACCTATTTTTATTGATTTCGTAATGAAATTAATATTAATTTTATTTAACATTTGTTTTAATAATATTTTCAAGTTTTTTATAACAATTAATAACAAAATCATTAATTAAAGCATTTATTACATCCAATACTCTATTAAACAATTTAAATAAAAAATGAATATTTTAATTAAAAATTATTAGAGATTTTGTGTAAAGATATCTAAATATTAATTATGTTTTTTATTTTTAGGTAAATTACATATTATTTTAATTATAAAATTAATTATATTTTTGTTAGTTTAAAATAATAGCTTTTAAAACAATATTATAATAAATCTGCGAAAACACGTCTTAATAATTAGCTTAAAATTATTTATTCATAAATTAAAAGCAATTTATAAATGACTTTAAAGTTTGAGTTATTTTTCGCCCACTTTTAGCAAAACATTTGATAACATATTGAATGCAAAACTACTTTAATCTCTCAATAAATAAATGTTTTGTTTTGAAAACCCAATTATGAATTCAAATTCAATTCATTTCTCGCCCACAGAATTGCCTCTCAATTCATGCCATAAGTTTCATATCAAATATATTTCATGCATTTTTGTGTTGTTTTAATTTTTTATATTAGATTTGCTTTTTTGCGATAATTTCTGGTTTTTATAACTCACACAAAACGAGTCGATATTGTATTTTATGTTTAGTTTTAGTTTTGATGCGAAACTCATTTTAAATTTACATCTAATTTAACAATAAGTTAATTACGGAATATATTTCAATAAATTAATTAATAGTTTTTGTTATTTAAATGCCAAACGATTTAATATCTTGTAGTCAATAGTTTTCGCTGATTTAATCATTGAGTTAATGATTACAAGTGTCTAATAATAAGGATTTGTTGGTTTTGTCGATAAGTGGTTGATATAAGTCTACAAGAATTTCAATTTTTTGAGTTTTTTGAAAGTTTTGACATCACTTTTAAATAACAATTACTTTTTGATTTGTATTTTGTTTCATAGATTTTATTGTTTATCTGTTATTTCCTATTATTCACACAATTGTCTTATATTTCAGTTGAGGTTTGTTTGAAATCATTTCTATGTTTATTACTTCTAAACATATTAAGTCTTAAATGACTGATTAGTTTTGATTATACTGTATATAAAAACTAAAAATATTTTCGTTGCGATAAAACATGAGATCTAAGGGCAGAAAAAACGAGTTTATATTACAATTATATAAAGCGTTAATTTAAAAGTAAAGGATTTATTACTCGGCCACAGATTCCCTCCATTTTCCCCGTTATGTTTCCGGGAGTCACACAATTGCAAAGACACTGTTTTAGTTACAATTTAATTGCAGTAAATATTGTTTATCTATTTGTGGAATAATCCGTGAATAGGATGCGAAAGTTGCCATTGATTTAAAATCGCTGACAGATAACTAAATTCATGACATTTTGAATATTTGATTAAAAGTGTTTGCAATTGATATGAATTTAGGAATTTAATTAATTTCCAAACATTATTTTGTTTATCCAACGATTAAATATAAGTGCAGTATATTGTAGTGTAGTTTTGGGTAGAGTTTTGAGGGGTTCTTCAGTACTCTGTAATAAAATACCGTAAAAATAGTTTGAAATCAAATACAAAAGTGTTATTAAAAACACCTTTTGGTTTGTGTTTTGACCTCAATTTGTGCCAATCCTATCAAACAATACTCTTTGCCTAATTTCAAGATGTGATTGTGAATCAACACAACAATAAACCTTTCGCTTTATTTTTAGCACTTTTCAGTTGTTTTTACTTTTGTTATGCAATTAATTTTAATTCAATGCATGCCTTCAATGCATTAAAATAGCATTTTTGAAACACCGGTTTTGAGCCCTAATATCACTTTAGGTATTATATTATATAACTTTAATGTATTATAAATACAGTACAGGTATTGCCAAAGAATGCTAATTATAAGTATTGGCGAACAAAATGCTGTATTTATTGTATAATAAAGTTTGAGGCAAATCGGAGAGAGAGAGAGAGAGAGAGAGAGAGAGAGAGAGAACTCTGGGCTCAAAAACTATTATGCGATTAAATCAAATATTGAATAAAAATATTTTTAGGTTTGATATGAAGTCCGTTGTGTTGAGTCACACCTGAGTGAGCATTGATTGTCTATATATTTACAATTTGTTAATACATTACGATATTTGGCATCACTTGTTATATGTCAGATATATCGTAACCAATCAATTACTACCTTATATTTGACTGCTTTTTTAGATTCAAGTGAAGGCCGTTTACTTTCACTACATTTTTTGTTAACCAGTGTTTGAAAAATTTGATGTATTGATGAAGTCATGACATAACTCTATTTTGTATGCATTTTTTCTCTGCCCATAGGATTGACGCAAATATCAAATCTCCAAACAGACGGTTATATAACAACATAATAGTGAAAATGCCGGGAATGTGCGGTCGGTGTCAGAAGACTGTCTACTTTAATGAAGAGAAGATGGCTATCGGGAAGAGCTTTCATGTCATGTGCTTTGTTTGCGGTTAGAGTTGTTTCCGACAAACTTTTAATTACTATTTTTTAAATATAAAAACTATGTCTTTTAATGTGCACTTAATTTTGTCGTTAAGTTTCATTGTGTTTGTTCTTTAGACTCATATAATAACTTTTATACGTTAAATAATTTACTTTTATTACTATCATTATTATTATATGTGATATAATTTTTTACTTACTTATCATAAAATTGTTAGAATGTTTAGGATTTCCGAAACAGAGATTAGATTTTATCGTTTTATTTACTTTCTTTGTACACAACAACTGATTTGAACACAAGAATGTTATCCAAAGCTGTTTTCTTAATTGATTTTGTGATATAAATGCGTTAATTGTTTGTTATTTTAATGCAAATATTGTGTGTATTAATTGTTATTGATATGAATTATTGTTGACTTATGTTGTGTTGCGTTGTTTTACAGCAAACAAGTCGTGTAACCGACGGCTAGACAGCGGAAATCTGACGGAACATAACGGAGAGATATATTGCCGATCGTGTTATGGAAAACTATTTGGACCCAAAGGGTATGCAACGCCTCTCTCTCTCTCTCTCTCTCTCTCCGATTTGCCTCAAACTTTATTATACAATAAATACAGCATTTTGTTCGCCAATACTTATAATTAGCATTCTTTGGCAATACCT